TAATATTAAATTGCTGCCATAGACCTGTATTGGTTTCACAAAGACAGTTTTATGTAACTGATTGCAAAAAGGAGCATGAAGCTGGCTACATTCAGATTTCAAGATACATTTCTATTTATATCCATAAAAATCTATTTATATCCATAAAAAGGGACACATGTACCATTTAAATTGTAAGGAAGATAATTAAAATTAAGAGCTGAATATTTTAGCATTTTGATGTTTGAACAGTTAAGTAAAGGAAAAGTTTGCCTTGACATAGAAAGTGGTTTTTTTTGTGGTGGCAGATACAAATTTTTACTTGTGTGCAACCTGAAAAAGGTGGTTTGGCCAGTTTTTTCATGCTCTCTTAGTTTTGTTTCAATCAAAGCAGCACTTATGGAAGGGAGACACTAAAAAGAATTTGAGCATAAGATACAGTTCTGATCTCTAAGATTATTTATGCACCCTTAATCCTTTATTTTATAGCTTGTTATTAACTCAGCTTATGCTATTTCTGTTTCATTAAAGCAGAGAATTATTTACAGTGACGCTGGTAACACCTGGTATCTATAAATCTGTTAGTTATGTTAACATCCAATTACATCATCCAGTGAATATAGATATGCCTGGAAAACATCACTAAAGAGCTTAACTCAGATTCACTGATATGAAAGGGAGCTTCTAACTAAAAAAATCCCTGTGGAACCTGTGTTCTGTCATGTAGTTTCCCAGTGTGAGATATCATAAAGAATCTACAAGACAATACTGCACAAACGCAGTTCTGCAGAGTTCTTGAAAATATTTATTGGTTTGTTCCTATTAAACTGATGAAAATCCCCATCAGAAAATGACCTTATACCTGTCAGTGTTAAGTACTCTGCACTTGTTAGAACCATATTTAAGAAAGTGCAGGACCATATTGCAAAAGTTAGATTTCACCAGCACAGCGCATGGCAAACCTTCAGTAAGTGTGCTTACTGTGCTTTTAAAAGAGAGTTCTCAGTGCTCCAGAACTTGCAAAACTTCAAATAGAAGTGTTACCCATGACAGTCATCCTTAAAACACACTAATCCTTTTCATGAAAGCTATAAAAAAAATACTTATTTCCTTTTTTATTGCAGTAAAGTAAGATCTGATGATAGCAATTCACTTTAGCAGTTCAGGTGCTTCATTTTTAAGCACCCATCTATAGCCTATATAATCTTTCAGGTCTGAAATCTATCAGGATTTCACATATATTGAATTGCCAAATCCCAATAAAAAACCTCCATATTCCTTTCCTATTTTGAGGCTTTCTTTGTAGGAAAAATATGAGATGTCCTTTCCAAAATGACAGATTTAAATAAATGTAAGTATTTTTCTTCAGATTGGCTCTGTTTGTACACTTAATACCTTTTCTTGATTCCAACATCAATAAATAGTAAACATAAGCATTTACAGCTCTTGGCATGCACGTAGTGAGAAATCCAGCTCATACTTTCATTTGTGAAGTGATGATTTCTGCCAAATCCAGTTTTTAACATGAAAGGAAGAAAATTTGTAGCTTTGAGGGTGGAAGATAATACTGCTACTATAGTGAAGTGTGGCTATGGGGTTAGAATGACATTGTAAATAGTAATGGGAAATGCAGGAAAAATGCAGAGCACAGAGAGATTGGTCCCAATGTTTTACAGCCATCAGCAGTGCTCTGCATTAGTGTCCTTGACAGGAATTGTGATTGCCCTGCTATACTTTGTATTACATTGAAATGTATTTCTCAAATTACATCTGAACTGAATTATAACAATGCTGTGAGGACTTGGGGTACTTCAAGATGATTTTTGCAGTTTGAAAGATTTGAAATTATTTCAGTGACATCTCTGTTCTTTGGGTTTAAACTAGTGATAGCCACTACCAATGGTATTGAGTTTTAACGCACCACTCTGTGTTTTCAGGACAATAATAGAACTTCAGTGGTTTTTGCTAGAGGTGCATCATGTATTTGTGCATTTTCAACACAGCTGAAGAAAGAGTCAGTAGACATAAGACTAAACATAAGACTTTTAACATCCAAAAGCAGCTTTACATGTAATATTCAATACCAGCTACATGCACTGAAAAATTCTGAAGCTATTAACTGACTACAAAAACAAAATCTTTACATTCATCAACCATTTCTCTCCCATATTTATCCTTCAGCTTGACTTCCTTCTGGTTAGGGCGGACTGTCTTTTACAGGAAGATAAACATGAAGCACAAATTGTTGAAACTACATTTTCAAGTTACACTATAAGTGCAGAATAAACCCCAATGTATTCTGTAGACCAGGTGATCTGCATGTACTTGTACTGTCACCCTGATCTGTGTGGTGGGCCATTTGCTTGGAATCAAATTTCAAATATCCTGCAACAGAGTAATCAAGTTTTATATAAGTGTATCTCAAGAATTTCACTCCCTCACTTGAAATATCCTTAATAACCTTTACTAATTTAGTCCAGGAAAATCTTGTTAAAGCCCTTTACCACTGCTGCTACAAAATGTTCTCAATATTTCAATGGGGGGTCAAAATTTATTTTTTGTAGGTTCCCAAAAACCTCCTTTTCTAGGCTACCCTTCATAGTGGGAAAAATTCAGAAAAGAGCGAATACTTGAGGTAAAACATTAACCATTTAAAGATTGTAAGGAACATTCAAGTAGAATGAGGGTTCTCCTTTGAAATAAAAAGTAGTCTTGGGAAAGATCAGTATTAAGATATTTCTGCCCTTGCCAGAGACTCCTTCAGCCAGTCATGCTTAATTTTACTTAGCAAATAGCAAACTCCAGGAAACAAAGTGAAATACTCTCTGGTAGCCAGAGAATCAGGAGAGTGCATTGATTATAGACGTGTGGTAATGTGTTTCTGCAAGTGTAGAAGGCCACTACAGTTTTTGCTAAAGTTTAAAGAAGTCAGGGGATAGATAAGGAGCCACAGAAGTGCCATTAGCAGCATTTGTAATCCATTTTGCCATGGAAACTGCTGCACTGTGGAATCCCAGTTTCCTGTGAGCACAGGTTTCTAAGAAAAGCCAAGTGGACAGCTGTTAGAAGGCCATCAGAGCAATTCATAGTGCTGGTGATAGGAGGGTGATTAGCTCCCACAGCCTCTTCCCTCTTCATCATTAAATCATGGCCCACTTTCCAGGTGATTACTGCAATTTTCTTACCAGAATGCTGATAGATTAATTCAGAATGTGTTAAAAAAACCCCCCACCATGCATCTTTTCAATAACATCCCTTACTTCAATAGCTTGTGCCACTTTGTTTACCTCTTCAAAAATATCCTTGAAGATTAAGTATGTACACTTAGCATGTGGCAGCTGCCAAATCATGGGAGATGTTTCCCACTAAAACTGTCACTGCATTAATGACAGTAAGTACCTTGGAAAATAGATGCTTAAAAATGAGGTTGTACTTGTGCTTCCTTTGAATAGGAAGTAGGGTAATTACCCATCTTGTAAGGAACACTACAATAAAACACACCAAAGGCAATGGCTACTTAAAATTACCTGACTTCACTGAGTGAATCACAGAACCTTCTTTTTATGACCCTGTCCTACAAAGTGATATGCCTAAATTTCTGGTAGTAGGCAGGCATGAAAAGTCACATTGCCTGAGATGTCATCCATTCTAAGTCCATGAGTAAATAACCCATCAATTCCATATATGTATGGAAATATCTGGTATAGACAACTGTTTGAGAGACACTACAGGTAACAGTATATTGTACAGAAATAGTTTCAGCAAAAGGCTTCACATGCAAGAAGGGAAAAACTAAAGTGAGGGTTCTGCTAGAAGAATATGACTACCTATAAAACCAGGTAGTTGAAGTTATGTGATGAAAGACTGCTGAGAAGAAATGCTGAAATAAAGTTCAGACATGCTTATGAACAGAAAAAGTACATGCAGCTGTGCAAAACATGATGAGCTACAGAGAAAGGGAGATGTAGAGAATTAACTCACTCATGTGGTGTTACTTTATTCTTGAGCAATAATAGACCTTCCCCAGCTGAGCTCTGAGTGCTCAGGAAGGCACAGATGTGCTGGGTAGAGATTCATTGCTGGGGGACAACTGGCTTGGGGAGGGAGAGTCAGTAATTTGGGTAGAGGAGAGACTCCAGTGAGAATGAGAGTAGTGCTGCTCTCATCTTCCAGCAAGCACTGCAGCTCCACAGCTCTGAACAGCCTGAGGTTTTCTACAGAACTGGAACCCACCTTCCTCCCTGGCCAGTCCCTGCAACAGTTCTCTCTTCTAGTCTGTGTAACTATGGCATGAGTGGTACTCAGGTGAACTGAGGGACAGACAGATGAAATATACCCAGGCAGATCTGAGGGAATGGAGGAAAGATTCCCCTGTTGCTTTAATATAATCAGGAGGAGGGTTATTTTCTGTACAATATTGTGTGAGTGCAATGTAATTTTGCTTTCAGCTCTCACTGTTTCATGGTGACAAAAACAAGTTCAGAGAGGGTGGTTTTGTTTGGTACACAAGTGATGATAGGTGAGTACAAACAAATGGACTGAAACATGAACATTCAACAGAAATATGAAGAAGACAGAAAAAAGAAGGATCATTAGAATGTCACTTTTACAGGAAAGGAGTTAAACTGAGATGGGCGGCTTAACCTGGACATCAAGGAAATCTTCCCTACTAATATGCAAATAGGAGAATGGTCATCCAATGAAAATCCCAAAAGCATAGAGCCTTCATATTTTCCAGTGTACACTGTTTGAGTAATATGAAAATTATTCTGCATGTAAAGGGGATAAATGAAAGGTCTTCTGCCTGGTGGTGGTGAGGTTTTTCTTTTTATTTGGTTTGGGCTTTTTTTTAAACTTTCAACGTTAGTCATTCAAAGCCAAGTGAGCTTTTGGCTGAACACTCACTATAAGTCCCTCCAGTTTTATATCATGAATAGTTGATTAGAGAAACAAATTATTATGAAATATTGATTTATTATCTTTCATAGCCAATCCTAATACTTTCTTTTTTATTATTTCAGGGTGCAAGTTGAATTCTATATGAATGAAAATACATTTAAAGAGAGACTAAAGCTCTTCTTCATCAAAAACCAAAGATCAAGTAAGCAGTTGGATTAATTTCTGTTAAATTTATGATACTTTTAAGCATTTATGATACTTTTAAGTAAAATCAAATTCGGTTGAAGGCCACAGTAAAGCTATAAATTTTCTTCTGAGTTAAAATATTTAAACTTGAAAATAATGTGCTCGTGCAGGATCAAACAATTAGTGATGTCATGAACTGTTAAATAACATCATGATTTTATTTCTGTGTCATGATCAAGTTGACTAATTTGCCATGATCTGCCAGCAATGCTCATTGATAAGTCATGACCTTGTGACTAGGAAAGCAAAGACACCTAGGATGGTAAAGGAAAAAAGCTGCAAAAGTACCCAGCTTTTTGAAGTATTAAGTATTCCTAAAATTTCAAACTTGATCTGCACTGAAAAAAAAAATTTGGAAAGGAGACTATTGGGGATGTGGTATTTCAGAAATGTAGTCCCTGTCATTAGCTTATAGTCTAACTTAACTTTTAGTCTCAACAATATAGTCTAACCTAAATATATCTTCATTGAGATATGTGCTTAACGTCAGCGGCCATCATGGAATAAAATAATGGGGAGGAAATAAGATATTAATCTTTTTAAATGTATCCATGCAGCTGGTCCAAGTGGGTGGAAACATGGAATATTATCCAATCTTGGTTAGAACAGTGGAGCTCATAGGTCAGAAGATCAGTAAGTGACCTCAATTTTCTTCAGTGTAGCAGGACTGAAGTTACCTCTCTTTGCCTTTCACATGTAAAGAACTAAAATTACAATAGTTTTATACATAAAGCTTTTAGACTACAAAGAAGATGTTTTTCCTTTGTACAGTTAAAATTGTTTCATGGTTTTGTGTCTGGAAAAAGACAGAAAAAAATAAAAGAAATTTGATGTCCCAGTCTGAAAATATCTAGACAAACAAAACTAGGGAGACTAGATCAAGCTTTCAAAAATAAGACATAGCAAAAAATCTTCTATCTGTAAGAGCTAGCAATAAATAAATACTAGCTTTATATCAGACACCTTGGTAATTTTATTGGCTAAGCTGCTTTTACTTTCCAAGTGTAGGAAGAAGAATATTCCTCTAGAAGGAAAGAAAAAAGAAAAAAAGGCACCATGAGTAACAAGAAAAATCCCCAAGCCAAAGTAGTCAGTATTAATAAGTGCAAACACTCTTTCTGCTTATGCAGATCTTGGTTCTTGTCCAAATACTCAGAACCAGAATCTCCTCAAGGAAAGCCTCCAAAGAGCTGCTGCTGACACTGTAACCTGCCTCTCAGTACAGTTCAGTGGACTCATTGGGTCCTGCACTGAAACAGGAGAAGTCTCTTGCCCAGAGGTACCAGGGAGCTGATAAACAATGATAATAGATTTTGGACAGTGTTCAGTGAGAGCACTAAAAACCTTCCTTCCCATATTAAAGATGGACTTGCTGTCGTTGAGAAAAAATTTGTCAGTAGGATCAGAAAACGTTTTGGATAGTGTAACTAAGTCAAACCTGTTCACCAAACAGTTTTTGATAATATCACATGGTTTTGCCAACCAGAGCAGTCAGGTCTAGAATTTATAAGCATTTTCTACAGAATACTGTCCTGCTCTAAATCACATATGGGCCAGTAACTTGAAATATCAACTGTTTTATTAATTATTATCCTTGTGTAAACTGATAAAACAAGTGTTAATCTGTGTCTCATGTCAACCTAGCTTCTACTCCATCTTCTGCCAGCAGATGTCTAATCAAATTCAAACAATGTATAAAAAAATATCTTACAAAGGTGTCACTCAGCACCCTCACAAAAAAAAAAAAAAGAGAAAGAGAAAATGACATAGTCATACAAGCATGACTTGCTTGTAACCTGCCAAGACCACACACTAGATTATCATAGCCAACAATAAGTCTCAAAGGGAAAAGATAAGTGAAGTTTCAAGTCAGTGAAGAGGGAATAAAGGATAACTATCACTAGGATATGAGCTATTAAGAGCATATTTTGGCCCAGCTCCTAGAGCCAGCTGCCACTGAAATAATTTTGCTGAAAATCAGTAATATATTAATGACTTATGAGGAAGGAATAATGGGAGGCAAATCTAAAATCATCACCTGATATCTGTCACTCTGTTTAGACCAACTCTCTAAATCTGACATTTGATCTACAAAAATGCTTGCAAGGAGAGCACGAAGAAATTATAATAAAAGGGAAAGTCACAGAATTGGTAAAACATAGTGTATCACTCTATACTTAAAAATGCTTGCAAAAATAGCAAGTACTTGTTTAAACTGAGAAGAAAACGTTAAGATTGGACATAGTTATATTTAGTACACAAATCAAGTAGATTTTGAAATGTTATTATCAATTCTTCTTTTAAATAAGACAAGAGTATGTAACAACTTTGTTACATAGACACAGTGAAATTGCATTCCCATTAAACAATATATAACTGCATAACAGAGCATGAAGGGTGGAGCTGAACACAAGTTTCAGACACCACTCATATTCAAAACATAGAGATATTCTGTGCCAATGACCCTGCTACTTAAGCAATCTGGCTCTGAATGGAGGAAAAGAAATTAAGTCAAGCAGACGATGTTGATCCATTGACAGCATGTGAAAACAGAACAGAAATAGACAGGAAGCAAACAAATATGAAATGCTTCCTTTGTAGCAAAATAATGATTGAAAACCTGTTTTAAATGCCTTCTGTAGTGTTTGTGCACTTCCTTCCCACATTTGAAATCTTACATCTCCATGATAGTGGAACACATGCATTGCTTCCAACTCACATGAGAATCCCCAGCCATGAGACTGCAGAATCTTTCTACCAGAGAAAAACCACATTTTTTAGGCCTGCATTAATTACCCAAACTTCAGCCAGGCTGGTTGCATATGTCACTAATGGCTGAGGCATACAGAACAAGGAGAAGTGACCCAGGACAGACTTGAAGCCTGTTTTTCCTATTTATATTTCAGTAACTGACCCAATCACCTACGCTACAGAACCTGTACTTTGCCTTGCTTTATAAACAACCTCAGCCACAAAATGTACTCTCTATTGAAACCCTTAGATAAAAACATGACTGGTTTGAAAACCCTGCCTCCCATTCAGTGGGAAACAGCCACTCCTATGGAGATATCCAGAGCCTGGGTTCCAGAGCTATCAGAACTAAGATTTAAGGGTTTGAGGCAGCAGGCTGAACCATCAGTCTGCTATATTGATGTTTAATCAGAAAAGAACCATTTTCTCTTGCCATTTAAACCAACATATAATTTCAAAGCATGATTAGAAACCAGGCCATTATCAATGCAGAGAACAAGTTTTTCACATCAAGAATACCATTTACAGAGCTAAAAAGCAGGACAAAAACAACAGACTCCTCTACTTGCCCAAGAAAGTTACACAATACAAAACTAGTAGGGTTTTTTGTTTGTTTAGGTTTAGGGGTTTTTTAAAACATTATCTGCTCTCCTAGTTGTAATAGCCTGGCAACCAATAGGGCAATCATTCATATTCCAGCAGACTTCTACAAAAGGCTTAGGACAAACAAAAAATTCATGTTTTCTTCAGCAACAGTTCAAAAAAAGCTGCAAATAAGGATCATAGCAATAGCCAAGTCAAATAACAGGATACCACTTACTTACTTTCATGCTTCTTTCTGTCCTCTTCCACCCCCCTTCAGCCATGTTGGGGAATAAATAATCAGTGGCTAATTACTCTTGATAGGGGAGCAGGAATCCTTAGGTTAATGTTCTCAAGCCCAATTGCCAGTAACAGCTGTGGGACTTCTCACAGGATTTTAACCCTTAGTTCACAAAACAAGGTGCTGTTAAAGTCCATCCAGTGTGATAACTGCAACTTCGCAGTTAAAGTAATAAGCAGTTTTATGTAATAAACCTAAAGATTTTGCTCAGAAATTGCATGGTAAAATATTTAAGAATCCATTTCCTATTTTTGTGTTTGTAGTAGATGGAGTTTTAATGGGAAAGGAACTAGGAGACATAAAAACTGATTTATCAGTTTTACCTGATTTTGTTGATTTTGAACTTAGGACTGAGTAACATTAAAAAGAAAAAAAAGCAATATTACCATAAAATGATTGTGATTCTCTCCTTAGAAGGGAATGTATGCGCACAGCTTTGGGTATGCATTATTTGGGTAGTTGCTAAACCACAGAAGTATTTACATTGAGTTCAACAGACCTGCTGAAGTATTTGCAACACAACAATAAAGCACAATGTCCTTGCTGTGATTGGGGCAAGGGAAGTCACATCTGGGTAAGACTCAGAGAATTCTGCTTTGGACAGAAGGGCTCAGCCACACAGACCTGGACTCTCAGTTTGCAAGACTAAAAAAAAAAATACTGCTTAAGTGACCTCCAATTCCCTAACATTAGTCAACTAACAGTTTTAAATTGATTAGTAAATGAATGCTTACATCTAAGAGTCAGATGAAAATATTCACACTAGCAAAAAAGTCTGCTGAATTCAATAGCAGTACTAAAAATTTAAACCTTAATCCTCCAATGACTGCAAAATCACATGAAAATATAAAAAAGTTCCATTTCAGTAGGTAATGGCTCCAGTTGGCAGTGAAATAAATAACCTGTGTGATAGCAGTAAGTGTCCATGTGGTTCCCTTTGAAGGAATCCACCTATGTTTGTGTCACATTTTGTGATAGTATTTGTGGCCTATCTATTCAGCTAGAATATTTACATGGTCTGTAGTACAAGCTGTTGATTCAGTTCAGTTGTGCATTCAGCATGACTTTTAGATGTCCTGATTCCTGAACACATAGTTATTCAACTTCAGCATTAAATAAAACCAGTTTAATATTTTATAAGTTGGAATAGAGTTATATATTCTGTATGTGCAGCTACTGCATGAAGACTTTTTTAGATATTAATATTTAACTGCTTGCCACTGCATACGCCCTGCCTATGGCTGAAAGTTTGTCTTTTCATGTTGGTCTATCCTGTTTCTCAAAAAGCATTACATAGTTCTAGTTCCCCTCCCAAGAAAGTGAACTTTTCAAACTACCAAAGACCCAAAGGATGGCATCAGTGAAGGATTAACAGCATAGAATAGCTTTCAAACAAGTGACTGCATAGTCCTTTACGTTTACATTGGTTCCTTTTATTTTTACCTTGAAGGTCAGTGAAATTTTAAAGCCCCTGAACTTATTTTCTTCTTCTCTTCTTCTTCTCTTCTTCTTCTCTTCTCTTCTTCTTCTCTTCTCTTCTCTTCTCTTCTCTTCTCTTCTCTTCTCTTCTCTTCTCTTCTCTTCTCTTCTCTTCTCTTCTCTCCAGGTCTGAGAATACGATTATTCAATTTCTCTCTCAAGCTCCTAAGCTGTTTCCTATACATAGTTCGTGTGCTCCTGGATGATCCTACACAAGGACTTGAATGGTAATGTTTGAGGGTTTTTTCCTCATTTCTGCTCTCAAAGCATTATTTAAGCTATAAGAAATAAATTATTAAATACACGAAGGGTTTGTTTTATGTCTTCCAGATATTTTGAAAGAATTAGAAAGCTGCTCTTACATTGTGAATGGAAATAAGAACTAAAATAACAGTATTATTTTTTCCCTTTACCACTAAAATAATCCTGTCTCTCTCCTTAGATACTGTGCATCAGATGTAATTGTGCAAACATATATTTGAGATGTATGACATTTCTATGTAAAATTGCAAATGTCTGATTCTCAGTTTATGCAACAATTCTTTTTGGATTTTCCTTAAATCACTTAAAACCCCAGATCCCAGAAATGGACCCAGACAAATATATGAAACTGAGCTTTCATGCAGATGATATTGATGATCATTTTCTAGCCTTCTGCTTTCTCTAAACTCTTCTGAAGAGTGAGACCAAAGGTACTTTCTATACTCACAATGATTTATGGATATCATTTAGCACAATAATTTATGGAATGATGTAGCACACCCTGAATTGCCAGTATGGTATTCTATATAACCCTTTTATTTAATGTGTTACACAGTTAATCACCAAATGTAGAAGAAATTGTAATTTATTTAATCCTGCACTTCTGTTGTATTTATATCCTGGGAATACTGAATTTCTTCAATTTTTAATGCTAATAAGGATCACATTTTATTAACATACTTCCTTTCACTTGATTTGATTCTTTTGTCTTTAAATGCTGAAAGAAACAAAGCACATAAGAAATACTCAGCTTAGGATGATAGAACCAGCAGCCTTCACACAATTTTACATAGACACACATACTTCACACAATTTTTACATAGAGTTGGATTTCTAATTTTAATATCTGGATATCAGGAAGGTAACACCCAAAAAATCTAGTGCCAGGAGAATACTCTACTTTGCAAGAATGAAATCCAAAAGAAAGAGAAGTTAAGAATATTTGCTTTATTCAGCAGTGCATGAGAGAAGGATATGTGAATAGGAAGTACAGAAGATACATTTGAGATTTTTTTGGGGGGAAAATTTATTGTGAGAAATTGTAAGTTCTGGAAAAGGGCCGTGAAGAAATTTCCCTGAAAAACAAGACCCATAAAAAACTACTTTTGACTCTACATATACCTTAGGATATCAGACGAAACAAACAGTAAAGTTTCCACAAGAAGTTGTGGAGAAGAGGAAATCCATCCTTAGAAATTTAGGCATATAAGCAACTTAGGGATTTAACATTTTCCATCTAATCATGGTTTCTGGCAAGCTGCAATTCTTTAAATATGAGACCTCTGGTGAGCCCAGATGAGTATATTGTACTGCATGCTTCTGTCTGGGTGTGCAGGACAGGTTAGAATATCAGACCTTGTGCCAAATATACTTTTGTATTTATGTGGCAGGATGCATATTCATATACATCTGCAGACTGCTGAATGCCTCACACTTCTCCTGGCATGTTCTTCAATCCAAGTGTTTTACAATTCACCAGAGTGTATTTATATTTTCTATACATATTATTCCCTTACATGGTGTTGTGGTACATCTAAGAGACTAGTTGGTGTGTTCTGTCTCTGAATAACATTTGTCTGCCTGAGAAGATTCAGGTGAGTCCTGCCTGCTTACTAAGGCCCTAATCTTAAAAGCTGTGCCAGACAAACAAATGGCATCCCATTAATGCCCTATGGATCCTGAGGGCGTGATACCAAAACTCCTGCTTGAATGCATTCCTAAGGATGTGTTGATGTGAAAGAAAAAATAATTTCTAGGTACTCTGTCATAGCCCGATGAAAGAAACTACTCAGCATCCTGAGAATGTGGCCACAGAAAATATTTTCATCTGGTTGGTCTTAAAGTGAAAAATCTGGGAGGAATTCTTTTCATCAGATTATTTCCTGTTTTTCAGAAATGCCTGCACAAGTTGGTGTCTTTCATTTACTCCTTCAGGCACAGTGGGTGTACAGGAAAGAGCTCAGGACATAAAGCATCCTTATTAATTAATGGGTACAGTTTAGCACTGTCCCACTCTGAGCTGGTGCATGTACAGTTGTTGCTAATCTGTGGGCTGCAGATCCCTTTATTTTCTGCTGACCTTGCTTGCCAAGGATGAGCAAGGATATTTGTCACCATTTACAAATTATATATTCCCACATCCTTCTGTGACCATGTAAAACGAAGATTTGTGCCAGCAATTAAAGGCAAGATAACATCATATGTATAATGGCCAAATATTTTTACTTGAGTATCAGTTTTGTACTTGAAATACTGCTGCATGCATCTCCGGCCCTCCTCACATCCTCAAAAGAGGTTAGCAAGTGTAGTTTGCTGCAGTCTTTCCTGTTGAGAATGTGCTCTTTGTATCACAGCCTGTCCATGGGATAGGATTTCTAGGGTTTCTTGATCTTCAGTATATATTGTGTACTCAGTTCATCTTTACAAAGTATCATTTCAGTTGTCTTGTTCTTAAATTTGAAAAGAAATCTTCAAAAAATGTAACTGGAATGCTTCACAATCCTTTATCTACAGATATGGAACACGTAGAGCAGTACTTCCTAAAAGTTACTTTACTTTTAAAAATGTCTGTATTGATTGCCTTGAGTTTCAAACTATTGCATGCATTTCATAGACCCATTAATGATGTAATTAATATGCCTTTCCTCCCATTTGTTTTTATGACTGTGTTCCCATATACATTTGCTAATGGAAATGGACTTTGCATGGATGGTATGGCAACTGTCAGTAAGGAATTAAACCGGAGTTGTTCCAGTCAAAACTACACACCTGGAACAATTGATTGGTGAGTTCCTAAGTTAAAACTGCAACCCAAAAGTCCACAGAATGGTGGGAAGGGACACAGGAAGACAAATGCATTTCCGTCTGGAGTGGTGGCATTTTAACATATAGTAGGGATTTCTATAAATCTCTACCCATTACTTATATTTCTGAATGTTCAAACTACATTTAATATTTTAATTATTTCTCTTGATTGCAAAGTGAACTGCTGGACTGGATGCTGGTGTGAAATCTGGGTTTCATCAATGCTGATACCTTGCAGAAATAAAAAAGAATGTCCTTAACTTAAAAAAAACCAGTTCTGAGTAGCAGTACTATTAACAGGAATTTATTGTGCCACTGTCCCATTCCAGTGCTGCTGTGTCAAGTGCCTATTAGCATTGATAGGATTCTTCCAAGATATCACAGCCCCTGAGAGTTAGATACCATTTATATCATTGTATAGATAGCAAATTGTTCACACAAAAGGATTGTCAGTTTTCCACAGGAACCTAATGATTTGCTGTGGATTAGAAATACAAGATATGTCAATACTCAGTAGGTAACTACTGATTTAAAGTTTTTATTACTAGGAATTTTTTTTCAATAGTCTGCTCTAATTTCCATTCACATGTACAACATTTTTTTTTTGTCTGAAACACCAGATTGTGATTAATTTCATATTTATTTCCTTACTGTAATGAACAGGTCTCCCATTATTTGGGTGAATCGAAGCTTACCTTTATGGGGATTACAGGTAATATGTGAATGACAAATTCAGTTATTTCCATGTAACAACTGCAGATGATATTGATTTACAGAGCTGTAGCAGTGTTGAAGGATACTTGGAAATGTTGATGTCAGCAAGGAATTCTTGAACACCAAGTACAGCAAAAGCATAAAGATCAGCTGATCTGTTCTGATTCTCTCTGTGAAATGTGGTTTTTCACTATGAAAAAACTTACTACTTTAGCTTCCAGATAGGTTATACCATTATATTCTCTCACCATGACTGGTGCAATACCAATGCAATGATTGTACCTCTATGTAATACACAATTGTCTAAGGGAAGAAGCCCTTGAAAACACTGTAGAATATGCACAGTTTGAATAATTTTTGACCTAGTGTTCAGATTATAAAATTTAATTTAAAAATATTGAGATATTTATTTGTCTATGCATGCAGTACTTTTCTAATATGTCTGTTATGTCTCTTTGGTAAGGGTAAGAATTTATTTGAAAATAAAGCCTGAGTTTATCTAAGATTATTAATATATCAGCTTTGGAGAAGCTGATATATTTTGATTGCCTATTTTAATAATTTTGTATATTTTAATTCTTTCCCAAGTCATAGCATCTTTTTTAACTTCTAGATAGAGACACTGTGCACCCTTCAGAGTTTTCAGCTGTAGGGAGCATTAATTTAAGATTTAAAATCCTGAGGCTTGACCTCAGGCTCCAGCCTGGTAGAATCCATCTTGATGGAATATCCCCATGATACACATTAAAATACAAATACTTTCAGTGCACAGAACATCAGCAAATTCTTAGTATCTATAAAGTAAGATAAGTATTAGGTATTTTGTTTTACTGTTTTGATATTGGAATATTTAAGTATTTTAAGCTATTTAATACACCCACCAACTACATAATCTAATTGGAAGCTGGTAAAATGAGCTCTACTGCATTTAAATCTTAATATCAATAATTGTTCATCTGTATAATTTTTTTCTGCTTTCAACTTTCTGTATTATACACAGTAAGAAAAACAGTTGCTATTCCACACATTCACAACATCTTCACAAGAAAGTTAAGAGCTGACTGAGTTTGCTTATTTACAGCTTCTTTCTCTCTCTCTCTCTGTCGTGTGGGAAGATTTTGGTACTGCTTAGGAATAAATGAAACTCAGAAAAATAACAATATCTAAGCTTCAAGCAAAATGCTCTTAGCTGAGAGAGTTTCAGAGGTTTCATGGAAGAGCTGTTTTATATAATCTTTTATTTTCATTGTAATGTTAATATCTAGAAGCTGGTATTAATACATATTTTTTTCACTTCACTTAAGGTGTCTGTGGCTGTAATAAGTCTCTTTGAAACTCTGTTGCTAAGTTATCTAAGCTACAAGGTAAGTACTCTTTGTTACTTTTAGGCAGAATTAATTAAAAGCTAATGAGTTAAATATTTCAATCTAAAGTTTATGTACCTGTGCCCATGCTGGTGTTCAAAGCAGGGAGTTGAGAAAAACACAATTTTGAGGATGGCATAAAACACACAGGCAGCCCTGTTTCCCAAATTTATGAGCAAACTCTAATATCTAAAGAGGGGAAGTCAATAATTAAATGCTCATTGTTTTCCATTGTAATTTGAAAACACATTCTCAAAGGTGACCTTGATTTTTTGACACTGATTTTAAGTTGTGCAGTTTTATTTGTCTGTCCATAATGTATTGGACACAATTGTCATTGATTTTAAATCTGTAGCTGTTCAATACATATAATTCAAGGTTTAGCCCTCTAAAACTGTGCCCAGAACAACTAGGCCAAGACAGTACTTAAAAAAAAATAAATATCAGATATCTACATACTTATGTTCATCTGTGTGATGCTATTGGAATAACATTTCAAAATGTCTTGAAGTCATTTGATGTGAATACAATGTATTTTTGTATTTGCATTCTCCTTTAAAAGTTAATTTTTAAAATATAATTATTCAGTTTTCTTCATTCTATTTTGTTCTGCTATATCTCTGCATTTTTAGTATCTTTAGGAGAAAAACACCAAAAGCATTTGAAATCATTTACCAAAGAAAATGTGAAAATACTTGATTACTAAAGCTGAAAATATCTTGGGGGATAATTTTTTTTGGTATTATACTTTGTATTACTGACACTCAGTAGCTATCAGAGCCACTGCTGAATTTAGAGACTTGTATTTCAGTGTGCTTGCCGAGTGATCGTGGCATAAATGTTTTCCTTAGTGCCCAATAATGCTAAGAGGCTTGCAGTTGTCTGCTGTCTAAAAATTATTCTTCTTAATCCTTGGAGCATATATTATTTAAAGGTTGGGGTTATAAGTGCAAATCAATTATGAGCAGAAATAGTCCAAAATTTATATCCTGGTGTCTAAACAGTAAAGGGCAATCACATTTTGTGCTGTTCCTGAGTTTATTGGGCAGCATTTTATCCTCATCCATTCTGCTTGTAATTTGTTTCAGTTTCAGTGGGTACAAAAGATGAATGCTTGGCAAATCTGCTTCCATGAGAAGTTACTCATCAGTGTGTGATGGATGGAAGGCTCCACTACCCTGATTTGCTGCATACACCTGTCACAGAAGCTGAGGCAATTTTGTGGTTCCACTCCCTTTAAGAGAAAGAACTAAGGGATTAATCTAAGGAACAACAAAATTTCTCAGTCAAATCAATCCAATTAATGCAAACACCTCCTTTCCTCTGGTCCTGTTTTCCTAGTTTTATTTTCACCATTCTCTTGAAGCTAAGAATGGTGTTATTTCTTCCACTGTAAGGCTTTTCTGCACAGCCAAGGTGACCAAAGGTGCCTTGGTTTATGTAAATCTGTGGCAGATTACTTATTTTGTGGAAACATTTTCAAAGCTTTCACCATTTAGGTGACTAACTTCTACAAGCCAGAGAATTAACAAGTGAGAAAACAAGAAAAAGATGATTGTGTTTGCATTGGAGTTCACGTTACTAGGATTTCACAAATAACCTTTAAAATGAATAAAGCAGTCATTTGAGAGAATACTCTGAGAGATTGACCTTTCTGATACCTGGCCCATGACATATGAGAAATGGTTCAACATGCAGAGTAGTGAGGGCAGAGTAGCATATCATGGTACTGTGATACAGTGAATTTGCATTTTTTATAGCTTTTAAGTGGAGAGGAATGCAAAGGATGTAGCACAGCATTGTGATGCTCATCACTTGGATCCAGGAATTGAAGGTTTACAATCTGCATTCTCATAGCCTAAAGTATTACAGGAAGGTTTGTCCTTGGCCAGAATTCTGAAAGATGTCTACGTTAAAAACCTCCATTGTCAAAAGTTACCACAGACATCTGGCAATGCTGCTTATGCCTGGTGCTCAGGTCCTCTCAGGGCTTTGAGCAGCACCATACATTCTCACCGCAAAAGGCAGTTTTGCAGAACTCATGATGCATTTATGCATTTCCATGTGGAAGCCAGAATCCTACAGCTGCACACATCCCTAATTACCTGGAGCCCATCCATACTGGCACTTTGCCTGCACAGTTAAATTATGTGACATTTCTTCTCTGTAATGCAGAGGAGGAAACTCCTAATGTTAAAAATGAGGAAATTTGTGAAATCACAAAATGGTTACGTTAGAAAAATCAGATTTGATTTTGATTTTACTATTCATACAAAACCCTCTCAGTTTGCAGCCTCATGATTTCACTTGTATGTCTGACTCCAACCAATTGCAATTACATGGGAGACAACAATCCCTGTCCCTGAGGTATAGTGGCTTCCAGATGTGGAGAGTTAAAAATGGAGAAAGAATTATATATGATAGGGAGGTTGTATTTAATTTTCAGTGGCTGTATCAGGTGGTTATTTTTTCAGGGAAGATGAACATGTTATTGCATCTGAAAATATAATGCTCTACTGAAAATTCTTGTAATACTGCCATGGTATGTGCTACACTATTATTGCATTACCTATGATGGAGTCCTGCTACACAGCATTAGTAAAGCTGTGAGTCACTGAAGTTCAACTACCTTCCTTTTCTAATATGTGGATTTTCATCTCAACATTTAATCAGTCACAGCCACTGCACGGATTTGGAAAAAAAGAAAAGTAGAATTATCCCCATCCCGTTGCTAGCAGTAAGTAAATTAAAAGATCAATAAATATTTCACTCCACTGAAATATGTGGGAAGACCTCTCATTTCATGGAAGCAAGATCAAGTTCCAAAAAGCCCCGAAGTGTACAGAACAACACTGTTCTGAAGTGTTGGGGGCAGAAACAGAGAACTTGATATTTTAGTCCTAATTCAAATATTAAACTCTTGATTTGTTCCTTACTTCCCTTGCCAAAACAGTTGGGAAAGAAAAGATACAAAGTAAGGTAAATGATAAATGCAAAGGATGAAAGGAAGGAGATTTAAAAGTGCATATCTTTTACTTGGGAAGTACATTATGATAACCTGTAGGTAAAAGGTTCCACAGTGATCTGTATTCCATATTCACATGTGTTTAAATCTGAGATGAATGACATTCCTTAATTTCAGGTGTGGGAGAGACTCCCTGTGCTTCATTGGGTCATCACATGTATTTCTCTTCAGAAATTTGCTTTTAAGATGACTGACATTGTGGTTTTTTTTTTTCTTTTCTTTGAAGGGAAATATCTGGGAACAAATTCTGAGAATACCCTTCCTCCTGGAAATAATTAATGCTGTCCCTTTCATCATCACGGTAAACATATTTGAATTAATACATTTTCACATTGCACTTCTATAGCTGCACAAATACTCTTACTTTTTAAAAATTTTATTTAAATTTTATTCTAATGTGGATGATGAGTTTGTGCCTATGGGAACAGCAATTTGCCAACAAGAAGAAAATAATTTGCTGCTGGAGTAAAGCCATACAGATAACTTTTCACTTCTTCTTCCATGGGCACAATTAAAACCAAAACCCTCTAACTCCAACTACAGCACAATCAATAAAATAAACCAGATGGTTGTAGAAATGGAAGAATCACTCATGTCTGCAGTGAAAACTATGTTCCTATTTTATCTAATTATCTTGCATGTGGTTAATCACAAAGGAAAACAAAAATGTTATTTAAAGCCAAATCTCACGCTAGAAACACATTAATAGTAAGTGTTTTTCCCAAGTGTTTCATTGCTGCTTGAATAGTAAAGCTCTATTCCTCATCAGAAAAGCTCCTAATGAATTTGTTAATTCTTCTTGCAGATTTTCTGGCCAGTCCTAAGAAACCTGTTTATTCCTGTATTTTTAAATTGCTGGCTGGCAAAGCATGCTTTAGAAAATATGATTGTAAGTATGCAAAGGAAATAAATATTCTAGAGTTGTGAGGTTTTTTGTATATTGTCTTTAGGGGGATTTTGGCAGTACAGTCTAACCGTAATAGGAAGCTAACCAGATCTGTATTTAGATTATCCAAATGGTCAAGCATTACTAAGCTGCTTTCTGCATCAAAATGAGAAAAAAGTAAGACATGAAATGAAATCTCAATTAGTATAAATTGTTACTGTGCCAATGCAGGAAATGGCAGTGTATGGTTCTTTTGCTACTCTGCCATTCATACACAATTGCAGGGAACTCAACTGTTAGGCCATAATTGGGCCTTGCAGCCTGTAATTTGTAAGCTAGACTTGAGCAGACCTCAAGGCAGCTTGCAATAGGAATTGTGCTGGGACGAACAAAGAACTACTTAAATAATCACAGAATCACAGCTGGCCCTTCTGTACCTTCTGTATTATCAGCAAACTCATAAATTCATTTGGGTGACTGCATTGCTATCAGGGTACTGCATATTTCCTCTACAGAATCAGATCCTGACTTACTGGTTCAAACCCAAAAATAACACCTATTTTCCATTACTACAGAATGATCTTCACCGAGCCATCCAACGCACACAGTCCGCAATGTTTAACCAAGTGCTCATTTTAATATCTACCTTACTATGTCTCATCTTCACTTGGTAAGTGGCCAAATCCCCTCTGTTTTTGTTATACATGTTGGCTTGCCTGGTGGAAAGCATGCAGTGAAATAAGAAGGGTGAAACACTTCAGTGAAAGTGTTAACTAGCACCTGTACTGCTGGGGTGTGGAATCCTGCTCACTCTAAGGAAGGAAATAGAGATGATGCAAAAACACAGGATAAAGCAGGGGGAGCTTTACATATATACCAACCTCCGCAGAGAAGTCACTCACATGTGAATAGTACCAACAGAAGTATATTGACCCACACCAAGGTCACCTTCCTCTGTCTGCTGGGACAGAGAAGAATGTGCAATGTCTCAGCTGTAAGACTTTGACCGAGTCAGGTTCCCCTAAGGATTACAGGGCATAGCTGTTTATAATCCAGATTACAGACAGTGTAGAATGCATTAATCTAGAGTGCTGATGGCACTGGGTGGTAGGTTCAAACAACCAAAATGTATTGCTCTGAAGAATGTTTTGCTGCAAGACCTGAAAAACTTGAATTGACATCCACAGGAAACACTACTCCATTGCCCCATGTTTATATTGTGCCAGAGAGATCCAGCCAGGGCTGGAGGCACATGAAGGAGGCTACATGATTAGTCTGGCTATGCAGTAGCTCTGTAGCTTACTTAACATAAAGAACTTTCTCATCAGCGGTGCCTGAGAATTGAGAATCATACTCAGGGGGAATACAGGGCTGTGTACAGTGTGATACAAGCTGGTGTACTAAAGGACAGTGAAGAGAGAAGATGGTTCTGTGTGGAAAGGCTAAATCACCTGTATTTGTTTTGCCAGACAAGATGCCTTTAGGTCAGCACATTGATAAAGTTTGGTGTGTCATTTTGGAGACAGTAATTAGATTTTCTCTTACTTTATTTCTCTAGCTTGCTTTTCTGATAGTCACTGTTATGTGCTGCCTAACCCTTTTGGTAATAAGTGTAATATAGCACATGGCTTTTTAGAGGAGAAGTTTGCTCTAGCCAGGCTAAATGAATGGTCCAATTTTACCCTTTGTCTTAGGGCCACACACATGCTTAATAACAAATGCTGCCTGTTCCAGACAGTAATGAATTTTTGTGATATTTAAACTCCTGTTGAACCTGATGTAATTTTAAATGCATAAGGACTTGGACATTTTTAATTTTACTTTTTAGTTTTGTACAGTACAAGGTGCTATTGAGTAAATATTCCTTCACCTTTTTTACCTACCTACTTCAATATTTTACTGAAATGCTGCACAGCAGCAAAATGCTGCTCACCAGCAGGGTCTGTGGTAACTGACAGAAAACATGCAGGAAGTGGCCAGCTCACCTGTATTATGGCTGGGCTCAACAGCTGCAGATACTGCTTCATTATAGTTCATTATTTACTGACCTAGGACTGACCCTGCTAGACTTGAAAAGAAGCTAAATGAGATGAAGACACCCAGTAAAGCAGCAACTAAGGAAACAAAGCACTTTTTGACTGAGAATAGTAGTTCAAACATCTGCAGCTTCTCTAAGACTGGAGTTATTTTCAAGTGATTGTTACTCTTGTCTATGTGAACACACATAATGGCATTTTTACACATTCTTTCTTTATACTACTGATTATATATTTAAAATACCCAAAAGAACCTCTATAAACAGTCCAAATCAATTAACTTAGAGTCTGATTATGTTAATCTATGGTGAATTTGAGAGAGTGTTTAATTTTATAGACATCATATAGAGCTGATATGAGTTCCTTCTAGCTGAAGGAGGACCCAAGTCCACTGCTGGAATCTGTGCTCTTAAGGGTGCCTTTCACCAGACTCATCTTTCATGTTTCTGCAAAGGCAGGCAGTACCCAGCTCAGTACCCTCAAACACGTTTGGGAGCCAGCACTGGCACAACACACAAAACTTTTCAGTCCTCACCAGTCTGTTCTCATTAGCATGCTTTGGTTCCATTTAGAAACACTGCCCTGCTCCATGTAGTGCCATGGCTCAGTAAAGCAAAATGACTAAGCCTGGATTAGTACAGTGCCTCCAGCAGCAGGGCACTTTCCCCTCAGAGGATGAGGGACATGCCCCTGGTGTGCTTTTGGCACCACTGGTACCTGCCCTCATTGAGCCTCCCTGCTGACGTTCAGGGCCTGGGTGGATTCAACTGAAACCCCTCAGCCCCCTTAGCTCCTGCCTGCCAGGCTTGTGCCATCTGCTGCAAGAGCAACATCAGCACTTGTGAAGCCAATATAGCTTTAAAACACTGGGTTTTCTGTTCAAAGCCACCTTTTTTTGGCAGACACATAGACAGAGATGGAATGGAGCTTTTTATGGGAATTACATGATTTTATAAGATGGTATGAAGCCCAGAAAGATTCCTCACTGGCTTTGTTCCTGTCTGCATATAATAAGAATTTTCAAAATAACTTTACCATAACTAGCAGGAAACCCACAGAAAATGATTTTCACCTCGTGCATCATTTGTAAAGCCATCATTTACATCTCCACATCAGAATCTTATAAGTGGTGGTTACAAAGATAGGCACATGCCAGCTTATGTCTTACAACTCAGGTGGAAGCTTTCCAATGAAAACTGAAAAAAATAAGTTATCTGAGGTTACAACTGATTGGCTAATCTCACAGTTTTTGGATGCCATTGTTCAGGCTGTCCTTTGCACTCAGAGTATAGTAGAAAAAGGCTTCTTCTGTGTTTTTGTATAGAGCTGACAATTTTCAATGTTATTACAGAACAAACAGTAATCACAACAAAATTTATGCTCTACTCCACTCTTTGCCCTTTGGCAATAATTGTTTATGGATGTGGGGGTGGAACTCATTTGCAGGTCAGTAAATCTATAAGACCATTTTCAGGTATCTGTAATTTATAGATTACATACAAGGGGTTTTTTTCTCTCTTATTTCCTGACTTCAAAGACAGATTAGGCTGTCCAATGATTTTCTTTCTTTAAACATCTCAGTGGCCTTGTAACCAGAGCAATTTTACATCTACTAAAATATGTGTGCTCCAATATGACAGACTGTTCAGCAGTTACTATTGAGAGTGTTCTAGTGAGAGTTATAGACCTAGTCATAATATGTGTTGTGTCATTAAGCTAATGGATGTTTGCACTTGTTTGTCAAATGGAATACTAATTATTTCTGTAAACTGTACAAGAAGACAAATAACAGTGAATGAGTATTTCAGGCATCTTTCTGTGACACAGTGAATCATCTATTAAGAGTTATTTTGAATTTTAAAGCAGTGTTAGTCATATATCACCAGTGTAGAGTGATTAGCTTGTGAAGAAAGTGGCTACAAATTCTTTGAGATGGACAATTAATTTTTCGTACTCAAACCTGCCCAAACTTTGCTTATGCTTTCATGGAAAGCTCACTGAGGTCAGTCTTAACATGTTTTTACACTTCAGTGCTTTCATCATAAGCAAATAAGGATGTTTTCACTCAGTAACTTATAGAATACCTGTGGAATGCCAATGCTGTAGCCTCAATGGCAGTTACCCACTCACAGTTCTCATCCAGAGGGAGCAGTAGCAGTGAGTTGCTTGAAGGGATGAAGACAAATCCCAACAATGATCTAGTCCTATCAAGACAAGTCAAGATCTTATGATTTGGAACAGTGTCCAAATTCCAAATGTGTCCAGAGAAGGAAAGCCACCCAACCAAGAAAGGATTAATCACAGAAGATTTTAGAGAGGAAAAGGTATCTCAGTGCTCCAGTTCCCTTTATTATCAATCAGTAAACATAAACACCTCAGAAGGTGATCTGAAGGGAGCTAAATCACCCCATGGAGGTCTTGACTTACCTTTCTGTGTTGATTGTGACTGGAGCATAATGGCAGTTATCTGAGAAAGATGCCTAGCCTTAAGTAGGATGAAAGTGTTGGTGTATTATGTAATGTAAGATAAAATGTGGATTTTTGGGTCTGCAGTTCTTTCTGTGATGTTATGTTTTGTTTTACATCAGTCTCAGTGTTCAGGACCAGTCTCAGTTTGATTGAGAGAGATTTTCTGTATTTCAGGACAGCACAAGATAAGACTGGCTTTCTGTCTTTTAGAATCCAATTATTCTAAAGTATTAAAGCATGTGAAGTTCCAGGAGCTAACAGAATAAACAAGAGTTTCAGAATTTAAATCCCAGAATATTATAAAACACTAATTGAAAGTTCAAAGTAACTGTAAATAATACAAAATTAATTATTCAGCTATTATAAGAATCCCACAAAGCACTGAAGTAATAGCAGTGGTACTTTTTTTTTCTCTGAAACCAAGCAGATCTGTCAGGAACATGTTTGTTTCAAACACAGGATCTCTGTTTTCTGTTTTGAAGTATTCCAGTGCAGCACTCTCCAAACATCAGCAAGTACATCTGGAAGTAGGGCAGTGGCACATGCAGTACCTTCCACATGCACTGGAGCAATCCCACCCTCCCGCTGTCCTGCTGCTCAGTTCCTGGAACCAGGGCAGCCTGGGTGGGTGCTTTCTCTGGGCATGTGTGCAAGGAAAATTGAGGTCGAGTTCAGACACTGCTTTAACACTTCCTTAAGTGAGGGGACGATGAAAGGCTGTGCAGCTCCTGGGAGGTCAACAGCAAAGCATTTCCTAAAATATCCACTTGCTATTTGTGAGCAAATAATCTACAAATTCAGCCTGAGTTTATGTGAAATACTGCCTTCTGGGAGAAACTGTGTGCCTGAAATCAAGGCCAACATTCTTGTGAGCTTTGGTAGGAAAAACACATATTGAATACAGAGTTTATCTCTTTTAGGTACAGAAACTTCTAAGTTGGCTTTGCTGAAATCTGCTGTATGAGACACATGCAAAAACAGTGTTGCCAAAAATAGTTGCTAATTTTGATTATTTAGATGAAAGAAATTCAGAAAAAACTCTTAGAGTTTCTCTTGGAATTCATGGGATAGCCACACTTCTTTCACCATTGCTAGCACTGGGATCCATCTGCTTACATGCCTATGATTAGTACTTAAATGGCCAAGGCTTTTCAAAAGGTGACCA